GAGAAAAACAAAACACCTTACCCAAAACAAAATGAACAAACACAACAACAACAAAAACATGTCAGAAAAAGAAATAAGTTGGATTTTATAAAAATTTGTGAACTTATCTCCAGATAAAAGACTTATATACAAAATACAAACCTCTTGAAAACTCTTTTAACATTATTTTTTAGGTGTATAAGTTTTACCTGCATGTGCATCATGTTTATGCAATGTCTCCAGAGGCTAAAAGAGGACATCAGATCCTCTAGGGCTGTGAGCCATCGAGTAGGTGTTGGGAATCGAACCCAGGTCCTTGGGAGGAGCATTTCTGTGTTATGTATACAGTATTCAGCCAGCATGTATGCTTACATGCCAGAAGAGGTAGGTCATCAGATCTCACTACAGATGGTGTGAGCCACCATGGGGTTGCTGGGAATTGAACTCAAGACCTCTGGAAGAGCAGCTAGTGCTTTTAACCTCTGAGCCATCTCTTTAGCCCTTAAAACTCTTTAAAAACAAAACAAAAACAATTCTTGTATGTATGCCACATAAATGACAAGGCGCACATGTCAATGTCAATAGGACAACTCCTGAAGAGCAGGATCTCTCCTACCATAAGGGTTCTGGGGATCAAATCCAGGTCATCAACTGGTGGCAAGTGCCTTTACCCCTCTGAGCCACCATGATGGCTCTAAAATATGTGGAAACATAAAAAGCCTCACAAAACAAGTAACCCTGAAAGGCACTACAGACCGCAGTAACAATGTATCAAAAGTGATGTTAAGCACAGGGAAAATGGTCTAGAGAGGTGGACAGGGATATGAACTCCCCAAAGGCAATGCTCAACATCACACAAATCTAAAGCTACAATGGAAAATGTGTTTTTGTTTTAATTACAATTTTCAAATGTAGGTTACAGAATGATGTATGCTTTGTGTCTCAGTTTTGCTCATCAGGCATTTATATGTATAAAAATAGTACAGAAGGTCAAAACTAAAAGAATCAATCTCTTTTGGGGGATGCAGCTCTGTGGCACATTTACCTGTCATGTTCAAGACCCTGGGACCAGTCCCCGGCACTAGAAAACACTAAAACCCAAACCACAAAAAAACCTTTCGACTTAATAGCGCACGCCTTTAATCCCAGCACTAGGGAGGCAGAGGCAGATGGATCTCTGTGAGTTGGAGACCAGCCTGGTCTACAAGAGCTAGTTCCAGGATAGCCTCCAAAGCCACAGAGAAACTCTGTCTCGAAAAACCAAAAAAAAAAAAAAAAAAAAAACCTGGTATTATTCAATCATATAAAAAGAAAATCAAAGAAGTAAGAAAAAACAAACTATGTAGGTTTGATTGAAAATGAAAAACAGAAAAAAATCAAGAGCAGAAGACACAACAAACTATTTCAGCACAACACAGACTATTGTACATAGACTGTTCTATTAATTTTAGAAACAGCACAGCAAAAAACAACCAGTTTGACCCCCCCCATTTCTCTCTCAATGATGTTACAAAATGTTCTAGATTTAGTCAGAAAAGTGTGGTTTTAGGCACATGCTTCAGTTTAACTGACACAAGCTCCTCACAATGGAACAATTCTGAATTACACACTGTATTTGAAGCAACACAATGTTTTTGTTTTGACTTCCAAGTCTGCGGTATGAAGAGGAAATGTCTTCTAACTCTCTATGAGGGCACATGCTATTACTTCATAAGCTTTGAAGTGTTCTCACAGTTCCCCTTCATTCAGTTCAAGATGACTGTCTATACTGCAACCTTATTTTTAAGATCAATTTGATTGCTGAGGTGCTGGAAGGTTTAAAAAATGTTATAGGAGTACAGAGTCTCACCGGTAGACGTCTAAGAACAACTTTTGGGAGCTGACTCTCTTCTTCAATTGTAGGTCCAAAAAGTAGGATTCAGAATGTTAAGCTCATACTTCTTGGGCCATCTTCCATTTCTTGACCCTGGGCTAGGGAGCTCCACCTACTCAATCTCACACTGAGGAGAGTTTGCATTGAGAGGAAAAAGTCTTAGTCACTGCTTCATGTCCCAACTCACCCTTGGAGTTTATTAAAGAGTCTTGGCAATACCAAATCATATGTACAACCAAGGGGACTGTTGGTAAATTGTAGCATCTTCTTTGAGAGTACAGTGTAGTTTTCACACTTGAAGTCAGTATAGGAGAGTCAGGAGTTATGCCTATGCATGAATTAGCAGGCTGAAGGGTTTTAAGAAGCGTGTAATGCTGCATAGTATAGAAATGAAGGCAAAGTTTCAAGTTTATCAAATTCTGACTCTGTACTCCACAGTGACCTCACCACACTTCTTTAACACCCCCATCAATTCCTTTGACAGAATAGCTTATTTATACACTCACTGTATGTACAAATGTGTCTATAAACACTTTTTTTGTGGTTGCAAACCAGCAGGTCCTCCACTGTGCACTTATTGAGTCCCACACTAAACTAGCACTGCCTCTGCTTCAAAGAGGAGGACCCAGTGAGACAGACACTAGGTAATGTGCCCAAGGCCACACATAGCCACACTTATCAAATGGCAGTGTCAGGATTCAAACCTAGTTCCAGAGTCCATCTGTGAGATGACTATGTAGCCTCCCAGTTGACATTTACCAGTAGCTTTGTGCCCTCATCACCCCAGATGAAACCTGCCTTCACATTCTTCATTTATAGCCACTGGTACCCATTATAGAGCAGTTCCATTTTAGACACTGTTGAACACTTAAAGAGATAAAATTATTTTTCCCCCTCCAAATTGAAGATGGAAGATAAACTCAGGAAGCCCCTTTCTCCAATCCTCCCTCAAAACTAACAGACTACAGTTTCTAAAGCTTCCCACAATCAGCAGAACCAAAAAAAAAGGCTTCCCCATAGCTCTGTGAAAGTAAAGGCACAGTCTCATCTTCTGTCACCTCTGCAGAAAATGAGACCCTAAGACTTAATAAACAAAATTTAAGTGCAGGAGTACTTTTACCTGCATGTTTGTATGTGTACTGCATGCAGAGCTGGTGGCCCTGGAGGTCTGAAGAGGGTGTCGGATCCCCTGGAGCTGAAGTTATGGATGGCATGTGTGGGTGCTAGAAACTGAACCCAAGTCCTCACGATGGAAAGACACTAGGCACCAAGAACAATGAAATATTCGAAAAGAGAAAGGAATATGAATTCCCTAACACTGACCCTCCCTGAATCTCTAGTCTATATCCATTTGAAACCAACATTCCATACAGGTTAAACTCGACCTTCATTTGTCTATTATGTTCTAGTTTAGGTTCCCAGCAGTGTTTCATAAAAAGTTATGTCTAAGAGTTTTATGTAAAACATTTACCTTGCATTAACTTCAGGCCCTAAAAATATGAACCCATAAAAGGCACAGCAAATGCAAAGGATGGAAAAGAGGTGGTTGCTGGGCACCACTGGATGGCAAGAACATTCCCCTGAAGCTCACAGACCACTCACATTTTAACATCTGCAACAGGTGCAGGGCAGGCACACCACAAATGTTCAAAGGCAGACTGACACAACCGAGAATTCAACTTCTGTGACTTCCCATATAAATTAAACTGACCTTACTTCCAAGGTTAATCTACTAGCATTCTTTATGTATATAGCTCACAACTTATTTAATTTCCTCAGTACTTTGGAACCTTGGCATATGGCTATACATTCTTTGCTTAATGAAAGAACTATTTCAGTTAATACTTGATAGTTCCATGAACTAGGCTACAAAAACCTAGGTAAGCGCTGGAGCACCTTAACAATCCTCCATTCTGTAAAACCAAGGAATCTCTAGATTTTGCCCATAGTTAACAGTTAATAAACCCCCTAGCACCAATTCTTCCAGACGTCTAGCTTCAAAGCACTCCATGTTATTACACATTGTCATTCATAAACCACATTTTATCTGTCCATCCCTAGGCATTCTAATATATATATATGAGAATCAATGTTTAAAATCGTCAAAGCTTACAGTATCTATTCCTTTATCTCATGGAAGTTAAATGTCACTTTATGAAAGCCCCTATGTGTCCTCGTCCTCCTACCAAGGGACCTTGGGACAGTTTCATGACCTTGCAGGGATAACTACTTCAATACAAGGGTGTGCTGACAATGCCAGATGTCTTTCCCATCCTCATCGCCAGATTTTTAAAGTGTCTTCAGTACCAAGACGACCCGCAAGTTCAGGAGGGAGCTAATTTGATTCCCTTAATTTCTCTAGCACCTAGCAAAGAGCCCGACACACAGCGGATGCCTGTCGAAGGAGCTCAAGCCAACGATCACATCTCGCCGCTCAACAGTGCAATGCTTCATAGGGCGTCAAAGACAAAAATCTGCAATTTAACTTTCCCTGGGCTTTTCTTCCGATCTCCCCTTCACCATTAGGACCTTTCTAAAGACTTTGCAAGACATGGACCAGGGTACGTAGCGGAAGTACAGAGCTGATAGGAACACAGATGGCTCCAACGCTCAATCTGACTCCCGTCCGGGTCCTGAGGTCCCGGATGGCCGTTCCAGGCCCGGGGGACCAGGCCGTGACCTTGTTTCCTTTGACCCCTGCCCGGGACCTGGCACGCGCCCTTCCCGCTTTGGAGACGTTTCCGCGGCCCGAGCGTCCGGGACGTGCAGGAGCCCGGACCTTCCCAGGCCCGGAGTGAGCATGCGGCTCGATCCCTCCTGCTTCGCAGCAGCCCGAGCCCCACATCCCTACCGAACTAATCATACCATTGTGGTTGCACGGCGCAGGCCGACAGCCCGGCAACACTCGCCCGCGAGAACATGGTGGAACCTTGAAGGTCGGGCAGACGGGGCTCACTGCGCGTGCGCGGCAGCTCCCGGCGCACCCGCCCTCTTCGCTTGCGTCTTCAGTCTCGCTAAGTCTCGTGAGCTCCGAAGCCTCAAATTCCCTGGCCCCACCCACTCCTGCTGTCAGTTTTAGTCCCGCCTGTCCCCGAACCGATCCAGTTCCGCTTCCGGCTGCTTCTGCTTTGTGGCGTTCTGGGTCGCCATGGGCAAATCGGATTTTCTGAGCCCAAAGGCCATCGCGAATAGAATTAAGTCCAAAGGGCTCCAGAAGCTTCGCTGGTACTGCCAGATGTGCCAAAAACAATGCCGTGACGAGGTAAGTGACTGAGGGTGGGGGTCCCGACCGCGACCCGGTTACCCTACCCCGACGCTGCGCCCCGGCTCGGAGCGCTTTTCCTCGCAGTCTTCCCCAGCCAGGCGCCAGAGGTCTGGGAACCTCACTGCCCTTCGCGCGACCCTCCAACTCCACCAGAAACGATCCCAGACAGGCGCTTACTGATTGCCAGGCTCCGACTTCCCTGGGGCTGGTCAAACTTAGGAACTCAAACTGTGGGCAGCTAAAGTTCCCTCTTACTGGTAAAGTGGAGGTAGTAATTGTACCTATGTGTTGTAAGGTTGTCCCTGAGGTGTTTTTTTGAGACTGGGTCTTCCAATGACTTAAACGGAATTACCTTCCAAAGTTTCCACTTGCTACTACCATCCTATGGGGGTTAGAGTTTCAGTTTATGGATTTCGGGAGGTAACAGGTTTGCAAATTCCATAGCACCTAGAAGTTAACTCTAAGTTTTTTTGTTTTATTTTTTTTTTTTTTACCAAATTTACTCTTTGTCTGAAATATTTTAGGGTAAATTATATAAACGTCAGTATACTTAACCCCAGAAATCTTAAATGTGATCAACATAACAAACTAATCGCCTGTATTGTTTCAATATATGTCAAAATGCCACTAACAAAAGCAAACCTAATAATAATACTTCCTTTACATCACCCAATACACTTTGTTTTATTTCAAGTTTATATTGGAGACAGCATCTCAGTATGTACCTTCAGCTGGCCTGAAACTCACCATGTAGATAGACTGGGCTAGCTAACAAGATCCACCTGCCTCTGCTTCCTGAGTGCTGGGATTAAAGGCGTATGCTACCACTGCTTGGCGGTTATTTAATTTTACTTCAAAAGAAATTTGGTAGCAAAAACCAGTATTGCTTTCTGTAAATTAAAATACAAATAAGCAAAATGTGATTGAATTCTAGAAACCCAAAGGAATGGATTGGGAGAGGTGGAAGGGATATCAAGGCTCTTGTCTTCCTCTCGGTTTTCCCATATTGCAAGGTAGGAACAGAAAAGGGAACATGTAAGAGCCAAAGTCGTCCTTCCCTTGACCACCTTTGAAGCAGGGAAGGCAGCGAATATATCTGGGAACAGACAGCCAGAATCAAAAGAACCTTACAAAGATAATTGACAACTAACAGAACTGGTCATTTATCCTCTTCTCAAGAGAACTTCATTTCAGAGTAATATCTGAAGATAATCAAGGAGGCGCAGGTGTGGCCGTGCACACCTCTAATCCCAGCATTCCAGAGGCAGAGATGGGATGATCATAAATTCATGCCAGGGTGGACTAACACATTGAGACATTGTCTAAAAAAAAAAAAAAAAAAAAAAGTGGGAAGATTTAACAAAAAAAAGTTTTTTTCAGACACTCTCTCTGTTTTGTTTTGTTCCTCTTAGA